CTCAGCTCAGTTGCTTGAGCTGCCAGTTATTTTAGGCAATGCTCACTGTTTTGAGAGCCAACTCCACCTTCCCCCATCAGCCTTGAGAGCTGCCCGAGCCGGTGGAAGCAAGTACAGTGCACACGTACTGTGGCACAGGCACCGCATGGGGGAAGCCATGGAAAGGTTTTGCTGCAGTGCTCGAGCTGCACTAGTTGTTGAAGCAAAACCCACCAGCGTGGTTCAGGAATGGTAGTTCCATTACTCATCTGCAGAGGGACTAGTACGCATAAGCGTCTTTCCCTGGCAGGGTTTCACAACTCAGCCTCCAAACTGTGTAATAATCATGGAAGCACTGACTCGCAGCATCGCGGTGTGTAGGCCAAAAGCACTTTGTGCTAAAGCAGTCCAAAAAGGTAAGCTGGAAACACTTTGAACTATGAACTAGCTTAAGATAGTGCAAACTTTAAGGGTGGAAGTGCTCTGTTCAGGATCAGAGACTTAGGACCCCAGTGGTGGTTATATGCCTCAATATAGAAAGTTACCTGTTCACTGAATATTTTAACATTTTTAAGTTTTCCAGGCCACTTAGGTTTTTTTAAATAATAATAAAGCAACCCAGAAGTCAGCTTAACATCTGCAACAGGGGTGAGCAATTATTTGGGCCAGGGGGCCACACAGGGAGTTCTGATGAGTTGTGAGTCTGGGTCAGCACCCCTGCCCCCCCACAACAATTAACCAAAACTCTCTATGTGGGATGGGGCTGCAGGAGGGTGGGAAGCAGGGCTCGGGAGCAGGACAGGCAGGTCAGGCTTGGATCGAATCCATCCCCTGCATGGGGACTCCATGGGGACATCTGTCCCCTGCACGGGGCTCCAGCTCCCAGCTGACTTCCACCCACTCAACTGCCTGTGCTGGGCAGCCGAGTGGGTGCAAGGAAGCTAGGAGCTTCAGCTGGGCAGCTCCTGCCCTAGCACACGAGGCTCCAGCTCCAGGCTGTCTTCCACCCACCAGTCATGGGCGGCCAAGTAGGTGGAAAGCAGCCAGGAGCTCAGCTGGGCAGCTCCAACCCCAGAGCTGGAGATGGAGCCCTGCATGCTGGGGCAGGAGCCACTCTGCTGAAGTTCCAGGCTGCTTCCCATCTACCCAGCCACCCATGCCAGGTGGGTGGAGTGGGTGGGAGGCAGCCAGAAGCTGGAGCCAGAGCCCCATGCGCTGGGGTGGGAGTTGCCCACTCTGCCTGGAGTGGCGCAGCAGGAGCTGCTGCTGGAGGTGAGGGGAGCTAAGCAGCACCTGTGTGGCTGAAAATGCACCAGAAGTAGCCTTGCTGGAAGTTGTGTGCCCTGGCCCAGACCAGGACTGGCAGACACGGGCTGGAGCACAGTGTGGGCTGCCCTGTGTGGGGATCAACCCCATGCAGAGCACCACAGGCTGGATCCAACCAACTGGTGGGCACCCCCTGCAAGCCAGATCCAATCAGCTGGCAGGATGTAATTTTGCTCACCCCTTATCTACAAATGATCTCAGGAGAGGATCCCAAATGCCCAAGAGAGAGACAAGAAGGACTCAGTACAGCCTGCCACTTGGCATGGAGGCCTCTGCCTTCACCCCACACTGATAAAATGAGAACTAGCATCTGCCAGACTATGATTGAGCAGCAAGACTGCATTATGTAGATTTAATAAAAGTCTCTAAGATTCATTATGATAACGCAGGGCTCAGCCTAACTATGGGCAAGAGCTCTCAGAGAATACACTAGCCTACAGTAGCAGTCATCTCCCTAGAGGCACACACCTCAGCAGGCCTGCAAATATGACCCCATGCATGTGTATCAAAACACTTATGAGAGATCACCATTAAGAGTGGCCTTCCCTGCATCATTAATGTCAGACCCTCCAGTTAGATAGTCTCCAGCTTTGCATTAGAAAAGCCTTCAAACAAGCATGCAACACAAGCGGTCACCCTTGTTTCTGGAGGCACTTGTTTGTCCTACTTAACCTCAAAAGGATTTTTAAAACAGAAGTTAGAGGGCATTTGAGACGGTGGAGGGGCAGCCCCCAGGCCACAGAGTATTACACTGAGAATCTCTCTAAAAGATTCAGCACTTTCCAAGGGGGCTATAAAATGCTCTTTAAGGGCTCCCTTACCAAGTCCCAACAAGTCCACTACAGGTTCTGTTGATTTCGGGGGACTTTTCCTGGCTTGTTGCATTTCTTCTTTCTTTTGAGGCTTAAATCAAAACAAGATAAGACAGTCAGACATCAAAAGCCTTTCACTGATTCAAAACCTGCTCTTACTCGGTTAAAGTAATAGATATCAAATTCAGAACAGCCTCGTTTAACACTGTATTGATTCAGTTCAAACTGAGTGGGCTCTCAAACTCTGGTCTGCCAACCTCTATAAGGACCGAAGCCACAAGCCCAAAAACGGATACCCAAAGAGGAATGTCAGGAGTGTGACTTTAACCACTGCTGACTCAACAGGCTTTCCTAGGATTGCTGGATCAGTCCCATATAGCTTATATAGGACTAGCCATGTAAAGGGAACGTCACACATTTGTTCCTTCTGCTATGAAGCATGGCAGAGAGGCTGAATTTCAAAGTATTCATGTTGTCACATGAGGCACCTTTAAGTGACCCTCAGCAAGGTAGTAGATCAGTCCCAATATGGAAGAAGGGATCAGACTGCAAAGGCTTCCTAAGCATAGCTGGTCTCAGAGCACAACCTTGCTCTTCCTCTCTTGCAGCTGATCCAGTCAAGCTTCACATCACAAGAAACTCCATTTACAGCCCTGCATGTTTTACAAGCATCATCCAGCTTCATTTGAAAAGCCAGCCCTCAGCAGTAGTTCTGTAACTAGGTATTGGGGCACTCAATCAGCTGCAGATGATTTGACAGATTTATCAGGTCAGTTAGAAGTAAAAATAGATGCAAGTTCATTTTTTTCTGAGAGAGCGCTCTCCCTCAGCTGGACTGGTCCACAATCCCCTTGATGGGATTAAAACCCAGTTTAGGTTTTATCATCAACATAAGCTGTGGCTGGTGTAGCCTGAACAGAGTCCAGGATTCAAGCAGTTGCTGACATTGGCATGGTGGGGCAGAAAGAAAAGGTCTTTATTCCTAAAGGCATAGTGCAGACATGGATATACCCAATTAGTCCGTTCTTGCCTTCTCTTTAATTGAAGGGAGATGGAATCTATCCCTCTTGAAGATAAGAGAGATGTACCATGTTTCCAATCCATTTGGAAATTAAGTCCAACAAAAAAAATGACGTTTCTTGTTGCCTGCTTATAATTTACCCTCACAGGGCTTCAACTGTGGGGATAAGCCTTGCTGCTAGATTGGAAAGGGAAGAGGGGGCAGTTAACAATCCAGGTTCAGGAGACAGGGATGGTAGAAGACATTCAGAATTTCCAAAATTTGGGGGGGGGGGGAAAAAAAGTTTCCCCTTTCCTTAACTGCTAGATCCTGACTACTGTTGTAGATGAGAAACAGGACTGTGAATCATCAAGCTAGTGATTTAGTTGAGGCATCAATTTCTTCACTTGATCAGAGCCCAGGAAAGTCTCGATCTGTATTGCTTTACCCCTACCCTGCTTAAAGAAACCTCCCTTTCCAAATCAGTCCTTCACAACAGACTCGCAACAACATTTGTTTTTACCATTTTCACTCTCTCAAAGATTATGGGCTCCAGTTTCTTCTCTGATGCTGGCTCGCCACTCCTCTTCCACTTGTCATCCTTTTCTTTCTGTATCAAGGCAGACAGAAGGGGAAGTTGCAGTTGACAGCATTGGGAGAAAGTTGAAATAAAAATAGAAGTTCTAGTTTTCCACGCAGTTCTCACGCCACTTTTTCATGCTAACTGATAAGAACATCTTGTTTGCCTTGTAAACATCGTTTCCCCATCTGCAAACAAACAGGTTTCTCTAGTCCTTTGCATGAGAGATTACAATCAGTTTTCAGCGCATTCACACAATAGTTTTACACCCATAATAAAAACAGTCAACAAATAAGTGACCTAGATACACTCTCCCTTTGGAGAAGGGTGTATGATGCCACTACAACACTTCCAAGAAATCCATATTTTCAGCAGTGTCACTATTAAGTAAAACGTTAACACCGTTAAGTAAATAAATACTAGTCCTGTATGTCTGCCACCTGATAGAGTTATCAGTTCAGAATCAAACAAGAAAAGATGCATCTTCAAAGCTGCTTTTATGCAAGTGAAGGTATTTAGACACTAACCCTGAAAACGCTGACATCGATACTTCGGTCCATGTATTTCTTCTTTTCATATTTATCCCGAATGAAGCCCTCCACTGCTCTGCAAGAGGCTTGTTAAAGAGGAATCGTTCAAAAGTGGAAGCTATACGAGTACACAGACTCAAACAGCCCTAGAAAAGCACCTTGCAACCACAAAACAATGCTATTTCAAGAAAGCTATTCCAGCAGTAGCTCTTTTTCATTCCTTTAAGGCAACATTAACATTAAGACAGGCTCCTGTAGTAAGTGGCTGGGATTCCTAGAGCTGGTTTAAGATTAAAACAAGTGAACTATTTTTTTGCTCTATTTTATAGGCAGCCACAGCCCAGTAAGCTAGTCTGATGGACATCACACACAATACAAAGAGGAGGTAGGTCAGGCTAGGAGGCAAGGTCATACCATTTGTTAAGCAGGAAGGTACAGTAACTATTATCAGATTATATTACCTAAGTATTTGTCTTACTATCATTTAGTAGCATACTTCTGCCAAGGCAACATTTAACATCATTACACAAGACAGCAGTCATTTCAACGCAAGGCAACTAAGCTTCCTTTTACATTACTAGCTCGGCATTGGACAGCAATCCTGTTTCTCATTAGCTTAATCATTACTAGACTCCTGCTGTACCCTTCTGTAATTAAAAAAGTATTTAGTCTTATTTTTAAGAAGACACACAGCACACTTTCAGCTCCCACTAGCTTCTGTAGGGCCCATTTGACAGTCAGCCTTTCAATTTACTACAGAACTGACAAGGCATTTCATGCCAGGACTTACAGTTGTAACCATTTGGCTTTACTTAGTTCTCACACTCTATGGCTTAGGAGTGATCCTTTTGAGAGCTTTCCCGTGGAGAGCTGTAACGTAACAAATCTGAAGCAATGAACTGAGGGCAGCTGGCTGGGAAGCCTTTTTCACGGCTGACACACACGCACATGAAGATTAGGGCAGCGGCCCTCCTTGCTGTTAAGCCTTCTACACAAGATTAAAAGTCTCTATTATCCTCCAGTAGCAAGGTATAAAAAAAAGGATGCTGATCAGTCTGAGGTCGCCTGAAGTTCTCTGGCAGGTAGGCTTCATACAGACGGTTTGCCTTTCCGTTCCCCATCTCCTGCATGCACTGCAATTCAAAAGAGAGAGGTCAAGCTATTTGTTTCAAGACACAAGAGTGTGAGCCACATTCATTTCTTAGGCTAGAGGTGGCACAAACAGGTTTCAAAAACTTGCCTGCACTCTTGTGTCTAGCTTAATATTCCCTTGGGATGCCAGCAAGTGCTTAAGTTGAGGGAGGAGAAAGAGGAAACTGAGGCATGGGCTTATGATCAGCTAGAGGACCCCCATGCATTTGAAACTCTTTTTTGGCACAAGAGGAGCACAGAGGGGGCATTTCTATGCTTACCAAAATTTCAGATTAGTATTTAGAGGGACAGTGCTACTGAATCATCCCATACATCTGACCACAGTGATTTTACTCTTTATTCTTACACTATACTTTTTACTCAAGCGATTCAACATTTTTCTTGGTAGCCTATCTAACTCAAACCCCAGTGAATTATTGCCCTTAGTTAGGGTCTGCCCTGTAGTTTCCCTTCTCTCACTTCCATCCCATTTGCTCTAGATATAGTTCTGTTTCAGGGCAGGAGTACCCACCCCTCCCTCGGCAGATGTCTGCATACATGGGTTTCTCCACTTCAGGTTCTTATTTTCCATGGTTTGTACAGAGATCTTCATCTCTGCAGCTCAACAGCCGTGCCAAGTTTCAAAATAATCCTCAAGAAACTAATTAGGGAAGAAGCTGAAAAGTCTGAGAACGATTTGATGTCAGAGCATGTGTATGGAGCCATGTACCAGAGGGAGAAATCTGGCCAAATGCAAGTAAGCGCACCTGTTATTCCTCTGTAGACCCAGGATACTACAGGCCAGTGGGTTTAATATCTGTTCCTGGTAAACTGGTAGAAACAATAATTAAATGAATAAAATGAAAAGAATAACATTGTTCAGTACTTGGGTGAACAAGATTTGCTGGGGAGAAAAGTCAGCACAGCATTTTTTTTTAAGGAAGATCATGCCTCACCAACCTATTCAATTTTCCAAATGCAAAGAAGTAACCAATGGGGTCCACAGGGTCTGCATTGGGACTAATGCCATTTAGCATACTCATAAGTGACCAGGAAGGGGGGAGGAAAGAGAGAGCGAGTGCCAAGTGTGCCAAAGTTATTTTAAGGGGGGGATAGTGGGTAAGTGCCATGGCAGACGGGGGATGGGATGGGGGTAAGGACCACACCAGACTGAGAACCTACAAAAAGGATCTTGCAAAAAAAAAAAAAAATGAGCAAATGGGCAAAGTGGCAGGTAAAATTCAAATGTTGGTAAGTAAAAGTAGTGCACATGGGAAAAAGCTACCCAAAATATCCATATGCAATGATGGGTTCTACATAAACTTGTACCACACAGGAAGCATCTTGGAGTCATTGAGGATGGTTCATTACAAATATCAGCTCAGTGACAAATAGATGTTAGGAATTAAGAAGGAAATTGGAAATACAACAAGTCCCTTTATAAATCTATGGTGTGTCCACACCTCAAACACTGTGCGCAGTTCTGGTCCCCAGACCTCAAAAAAACGGTGAAAGAAGAATTAGAGAGTCTACAAAAGAGAAAAAAAAAACTAGTCAGGGATGATCGGGAGCATGGAGGAGCTTCCATCCAAGGGTAGGCTAAACAGGCTAAGACTTTTCAAGCCTAGAAGACAAAAACACTTGAGCAGGAACATGATAGAGGATCTGAAAATATTAAAATGACACAGTGAAAGTAAATAGAGATTTTAATGTCTCCTACTATTTTGAGACTGCAAAATGAAACTATTAAGTAGTTAGTTTAAAACTAACAAGAGGAAGGTTATTTTAAAACAGTGTTAATTAACTGTGTGGGGGAAGGGAGGGGAATTCATTGCCACAAGATGTTGCAGGGGCTGTTTGACTTGGTTCAAAAAAAGGGAAGTGAGCAGATGCTTGGATGAGACAGTCTGAACACAGTCGCTAGAGGGGAAGGCTCCGAACTGGAGTTTCCTAAAAAAACCCCAAAACCCACAACTAAGTGCTGGGAGCTTCCACTATCCTGTTCCAGGTTCTGGACATGGCCTGTTCAGCCTTCCTCTTGGCATCCACCTTCTGCTGCTCCAAGGGATGGGATACTGAACTAGGAGGCACCTATGGTCCGATCCAATAAATGACCGTTCCTTTGGCTTACTGACCCCCACTTCGCCAGCACAGCAGTTGCGGTCGCATCCCACCCCAGCTCCATTTTTACCTGTATCTGTTCTTGTGTCCACTGGTCGAGATTCACAGACTTGACCCTGGAAATGTGAACTCCTAGGTTGCGATGGATCCCAGCACAGCGGATACAAATGAACACTCCGATATTCCAGGACGCCCATCGCGGCCCTATAAAAAAAAGAGAGACAAAGATGGTACCATAGACTCTGGCAATGCTCAGCCTGCAACTACCCTGAGCCAGCTCTTATGGGAGAAACTTGGGATTGGCCATTTTGTATTTCCAACTCAGATGGAGGTCTAGATTACAAACACCAGCAGGTTTTGTAAAAAGAGATCGAATCCTTAAGAGTAGGCAACAAGGGTTGCGTTCATTCCCACCTCCAGTTTGGGCTATTAGCATATAAAACACACGTGAAAGGGTAGCAACCCCATGGCACTGAAACAGGACCCTTTTACTTCCCCTCTCCCCACTCCCTGAATAATACAGGGGCAATCAGTGTGCAGTCTGCAGGTCTTGCCAGGCCAGACCTGCATTGCAATCAAGTTTCAAAGCCTTGAATTAGGGCAGAGGGAGATACAGAGTCACTGCTATGGGCAGCGTGCTCTGAAGAACTGGATTTCCATATCAAACTAGGCCAAACGCTACTGCTCGAGGATGAGTACCATCTAGTGTTTGATCCACCCGACCCCAAGACAAAGCACAATGTGTGCACCTCACTCTTGAGAAGAGCCATGAAGTTGGCTACACACAAGATGACCATGCTGCAAAGATTACAGAGAAAGGAGGAAGGCAGCAAGGACATTCAGAACCCCTCCATATCCCCATAGCCCGACTGATTAACATGGCAATTCATACAGCAAACGGGAACCCTGGCTGGGATCCCGACGGAGGGAAGAGATGTTGGTTTTACACACTTTTGGATTAGGCACCATTAGCATGCAGCTTTTGACAGACAGGAGAGCTCCAAGGTGCTGAAGGAGGGAGGGCATGCTGGGACACAAACGGGGAGAGGTTTACATGGTTTATGTCACTCATTGTACACACGGCTCTTGCCGAAAGAAACGGATGCATTGCCAAGTGCCAAGACCACTCCGGAGACGGCTCCTCAGAGCCACCAGGTGACACCTGCATGTCGTTCTCAACCGGACTCAGAATTAGCACCCCGAAAACAACTCGACTACCCGCGTTCGAGCTAGGCCAGATCAGAACAGCTTTGGCAATGTTCTTACTTTGCTGAGCATCAGGCTTGTTTCTGGAGAGCTGGCTCTTTTCTCAAAAAGTCCAAGCTCTGCATATTTAGCCTGGCTGGGCCTTTACGTAGCTGGTTTGCAAACTGCAACGGCATGCAAACAAGCATAAGTAGCACAATATCAGGCCTAAGCGGTCATCTTTCTGGCCTTTGAACTGTGCTGCAGTAGGCTGAAGGATTAATACCAGAACATCGAATTATGCCTACTGAGAGAGACAGAGGCTGTAGGTAGATGATAAAGACAGAAGCTGTGGCCTTGTGGTAAGCATCTACTTTGCAGGCTGGAAAGGTCTGTCATTTAAAACCTGCCCCCGCTCCGGCATGCTGATGTTCCTTAGTCTTTCCTTGGAGGATGGCACCGGCTGCTTGTTTTTCCTCTTTATTTCAAGCAAGGCCATTTGAAAGACAGTCCCAGATGTACACAAGGCGCATGCATCTACTCAGCAGCAGCAAGTTGTCGCAGGAGAGCTTGCTCGCCACCCTGCATCAAAATGATGGGCATGTTACTCCAAGGCAGTTGCTTGCTTAAGAAGCTTGCAAAAGTATTATTCCCCGAGATGCAGAGCTGATGTGCAAGACAGGGTGGAAGATGCTTTGCCATGACACCACTTGACTATATGAATGCTCAGAGGACAGACTTTTGTATTAAAATACCTCCTCGCTAATCTTCAAATAGCCACAGCCAAATCCCAAACTCAGAGAACCAGGTCACCTTTAGTTCTTTGAAGCAGTTTCTGTTTGGAGTTAGACAGATAAGACAGCGAGGATGCTTTCTTCGGCCCTCCATGAACAAACACTCCTTCCATCAAGTGCCATTTTAAGTTATGCTGTCAACCAGAATACGCTGCCCTGGCATTCAGCTTCAAGCCCGAGTATGCTATGCCAGCCTCAGTCTTTCCATTGCAACTTCAACAGCTGGGTTTGTGCGAACATATCTGGAGCAGCGAGACATGGGGCACCACAATGCCATACCCTTCTTCCCCCAGCTGTCAACCCCTATTAGAAAGGCAGCAATGGGAAGTATGTTGCAGTACTTCCCACAACAGGCCACTGCTTTCCAAATGCACAGTTCCTGCCCTGAAGAGGAGTTTTAGTTGAGCAAACAGTACGCCATTAGGCAAGAGGCTTTGCTTCAACAGGACATCTGTTCAGGGACAGGGTCATCAGCTTCCTTGTCTCTAGTTCAGAAGCCAGGACCTGAAAGCTCAGTGATGGATCCAGAAGCTGACCAGAGAAGGAGGGACTCTACCCACCATGCAGAGGATGGTCCTTTTCCCCTTTAAGGGCAATCGGGGTTCACAGCCCACAGCATTCCCGTTTTCTGGCCTCCCTGTAGCTTTGCATATGCACTGCTGACAGCAAAGACATCACAAGTAGTTAAGAGTTGCACCTGTCAGAGGGCACTGGCTTTTTTTTCCCCACCTGTGCAGTGCCTTTGCCAACATTATGCAGTCTAGTTCAGCTTCAAGGACACCAAGATGGAAGTTGAGTCAGCATCGCCACTGCTCTCAGCTTCCTTGCTACCAGAAGTAGCCTCCGAGATGGACCGTCTTGGTGATGGTAGCCGAGCATCAGGAATCTTTATTGCATTGTCCCCAACCCAACAATAAGGGGCACGGAGGTATTCCTTGGTGAAGATAAAGCCCGCTTTGCAGCATCTAGTAGTCCATGAGCATGCCCTACAATCCACCCTCAAAGCTCATGGAGGAAAGGCCACAGCCTCTTGGCAGGAGGCAAGCTATCGGTCTCAAAACAGAAGCAGGGAGGTAAGCAGCTTTCCAAAGTCTGCGGTAAAGCCAGGAAGAACCGAGGAAACCTTGACCTCCAGTTTCCAGGCTTCAAGCAGAGCAATCCTTAGAGGCAGTTGCCTAGATTACTCATTTCCAACAACACCTACAGGGCAGGAGACTTCATGTCCCCAACACATCCTAGAAATCATTTAGGGTTAAAGTCAATGCTAGGTTTAGGCTATATTTTGTGTTTGTAGGATCAAAAGAATGAATGGTGCACCAGACCCTACTTCAGAAGCCATAGTAATCAGCTTGCCAGACAGGTTCGTGTAGTGCTATTTAAAACCATTGCAAGAAAGCTTGCAGAATTTTTTTTTTTTTGTGATTTCTTAGGTGGTCTAAACAAGAGCGATCATCTCTGAACCAAGAGTTTTAGAGTTCTGCATTTCTTATTTAAAACTATTTACCTTTCTACTCACAATGATAGCAGAGTGCTTTCACAGGCAGCACCGTCTTCAGTGCTCCATGCTTCTCTTGTCATTTTAATATTTCATTTACAAGGGAGGACAAGAAGCTGCAAGGACGAAGTAATAAAGTGACAAGTGTCTGCCACCCTGTTTTGGAAATCTGAGCTTGGGGAAAACCTGGCTGTAACATCCATAGCCCTGAGATTTCATTTTGCATTAGCCAAAAATGCTTTCTGCTAATGGAGGTCTTCTAAAAATTAATATTTAAGCCATCAAAACCCTGCAAGCTGCCAATGCTGGTTTGGCACCAACAGATGCTATCCTTCAAGCCAACAGAAGGGTTCTCTCTGATCTTCGCCAAAATGAAGGGGAGCCGAGAAGGAAGTGAGGTAAAGAGAAGCACGTGAAGTCAAGAGTCCCAAGAGACAAGCTACAAAATAAATAAAAAAAAAATAAAATAAAATAAAATAAATGGAGGCAAGTAGAAATACCAAACTGTTTGTGTTTTAGATCCAAAACCAATGTTTTGATTGACACATTGTTAGGAAGAACTGACACTCCAACTGTGGTGACAGTCAGAAGTTTGTACATAAAATACTGCATCATAAATCCCTATTACATCTCTACTGCAATCCTGTGGGAGCGTGCACATTCAGGATCCACAGCTCAACCCTTATTCTTCATTGCGTCAAGTAGTAGCTGCTCAAAACTTCACGCACTAAGCCAGGGTGATGTGAACTCCTCAAAGAGGAGCAAAATACCACTGCACTCCTTGGGCGCGTCTCCACGAGTGGGAATGTGCATTTCCCCAGGGACAAGCAGTGGCAGCAGCACATCTTGTGCCACCACTACTTGTCTCCAGGGAATGCCTGTGCCCTGCGCGCTCTGACAGCACGTTGTGCGTTCTGGCAGCACACTGCCTCGGGTGGGGTAGGGGAGGCTGGGGCCAGCAACTGTGATGATCCCAGCAGCCTTACCTGGAGTCCAGGAGCTGCAGCAGGAAGTCTGGCCAGCAGCCGGAGCATGGCTCCGGTCAGCCAGGCTCCAGTTTTGGGTGATGAACGCTGCTGCCACGGATGCTATCCTGCTTTTAGGCATGGTTTTTTTTAATCCCAGGATCTCCCGGGGTAAAATAAAACCCCAACACCTCCACACTGCAAAGTAGCAGCACGGGGGAATGTCTGCATGTGCAGCATGCGGCGCTGCAGACTGCACGTCTGCACTCATCTGGACGCACTCCTTGAGGGTAAAATAAATGTGTTGAGACAAATGGCACACTGGAGGACCTGCCTGCCTAGAGGGTAGTGATGCGCTGACACAGGCAACGGTCAAGGCAGTGGAAAGAGAGGAACTATATAAATAAAGCATTAATGATGGGCAGAACACAAGTACCAGCCTGTCAACGGCAACACGAGTGCGGCTTAAAAACTTGCACAGCTGAAGCCACGCAGCAAGCTACTATACTGCCAGGGTCCATTTGAGTTTCACAGGCCTTCTCAACTAATAAGGAGCATGGAAGGATGTAGAGGACTTCTTTAGGACCGCTCTGGTGTTAGCAAAATGCAGACTGCCTGGTCAGAACAGGCAACCCTGGGCCAGAGGCTGGGCATTTGAATCAGCAAAACATCAGCCCTCCACCCTTCCTCACTGATCCTGCAACTGCAGCAGTAGCTATTCTTTACAATGTTATTGAAGTGCTGCTACCATTTCTAATTTCTGCG